TTAAGATGAGCATGGACAAGACGAAGATCATGTCTAATGTCCATGTCACGCCTATACCGGTTGTTATTGGGAGCACTGAGCTCGAAGTTGTTGACGATTACGTTTACCTAGGACAGTTAGTCCGGCTAGGTAAGTCCAACTTCGACGCAGAGGTCAATCGGTGAATCCAACTCGGATGGGCAGCGTTCGGGAAACTTCGGCAAATCTTCTCGTCGAATATACCTCAATGTTTGAAGACTAAAGTCTTCAATCGATTCAAGTGATGACCTACGGAACCTAGACGTGGTCCTTCACTGCTGGCCGGATGAGGAAGCTCAAAGCCGCTCAGCGAGCTATGTAGCGGGCTATGCTCGGTATTTCTCTGCGTGATAGAGTTCGTAACGAAGACATCCGCAGTAGAACCAAGGTAACCGACATAGCTCAGAGGATTAGCAAGCTGAAGTGGCGATGGGCCGGCCATATAGCTCGTAGAACAGATAACCTTTGGGGAAGAAAGGTTCTCGAGTGGCAGCCTCGTACTGGCCATCGCAGTGTTGGACGACCCCTCACTAGATGGAGTGACGACCTGTGCAAATGTGCGGGAAGTCGATGGATGCAGGTGGCTCAGGATCGTACTTCGTGGCAGTCTATGGGGGAGGCCTATGTTCAGCAGTGGACTCAAACAGGCTGAAATGATGATGATGATGACAATAAATCCTTGATTCTTCATTATAATGTTTCCTCAATTGCTCATTGGAAATGGCGTTCTGAGTGGCAACCACTCTATGCAATCATTCTCGCCTAGCATAGTACTAGGCTAATCTGACCTTACCTAAAATATATTTCGCAAAAATTACAGTTGCTAGCTATGGATATTACTTAGCCAAATCCTTATTGAAAAATATCTTTGATATTGAAATTTATTAATTATAGTATTTCTTGCGTACCTAATGTTGTAGAAATTAATTTGATAAGTTCATTGGTCGAGAACTATTAAACATTTTTGTAGCTGCAATGTATTTTGTAGAATTCAAGTTATAGAGGGTAGTAATTAAACTCCTCCTCAATGGCTCGACCGATTTTCGTGAAATTTTGTGTGCCTATCGGCCAGGGTAGAGAATCGGATAACATGTATTTTTCATCCGCCTAAATGTTAAGGGTGGTCCACCCCAAATATTTTTTTCTACCCTTCAAATATTTTATATGGGAAAACAACGTTTGCCGGGTCAGCTAGTTTGTGTATAAAACATTTGAATTGAAAAACGTTAAGTTAATGGCGCTAGGGTAGTAGGAGGGTACTAGACGGTAGTGGTAGTAATATTAAACTACAGTCTGTTAAATATAGGTTGATAAGCAGAATAATAACATTGACATATATATATATGGATCTCGTATATGAAGTCCCGAATTTTTTAAACAAAAAATATTTACAGTTAGTGTATTAATGTCAATGTCCCGCGTATCATTGTACATTTAACAAACTGTATTAGCTTCGAAAATACAACTCGATAAATAATAAATAATTATACTGCTTTGCTAATCTAGCGCTGTTATGGTAGTTTTTTATACATTGTCATTTATTGTTTTTTTTTTATTGTTGTTTTATAGTTATTGTTCTAATCTAATTTACACAATTCAAGTGAGCAATATCATACTTTTATTTAGTACCTTTAAACACTACTAAGTTCATATTTATCACTATGAAGTGTTTCAAATGTGATGTATATAAGAAGTACAGCCAACTCTATCCGGTGGCACAAACGTTGCCACATTAACGGAAAAAAAAGCAATAACATATATTTTTGTTTTATTTTAATGAAAAAATGTAATATATACGTTTTTGTTGACATTAACTGATACCTTGCCAATATAACTTGGTTTTAAAATAAATATAACCTTTGTGCCACCCTATATAATTAAGTTATTGTGTATTTAAATAAAAAAATTGTTTTTGTGTAAGATGCAAAATTATTATTCTTATTATAGGAGAATGGGCAAAATGGTCTAGCTATTCAACGCTAAAGAAAACTATATCCATAAAATATCCATTATTCATACGGTACGCAATTCTATAGGTTTTGGTTGTTGTTAATTTTTTCCTAGCAAAAACAAAATTAATCAGGAAGTAATTTAATTTTTACCTATTTAGTAGAGCGCAAAAGTCTAGGGTGACTTGCCCGTATATGTTTTGACGAGTTTGCAAACCTACGTTAATTTTAGTTGTATCTTTAGCCAACAGAAGTATAGGGCATTATTAAAAGTTGTTTACGCCTGCACGTTCCATTATTTTATAAGAACAACTAAATATTAAGTGAGAAAATGTGAATAATAAATTCCTTGAATTTTTGATTTATTTAATTTCATTTTATTTGTAGCATATTTAATATAGCACAGCAATTGCAATTACACAAATACCATACTTATAATAGCACGTAATATTGTTACAATCCATTTATGATTTGTTTATATATATACTTAACGCGTCAAAAACGTAAACCTTATTTATAATATAAATGTACTTCAAATTGATTATTAACCATTATAAATAGCTTAATATAACTATTATAAGTAATATAACCGTATTATATATTTAAAATTTTCGGTTGATTTTTTCAATTCCGAATATTTACAATTAAATGGTTATTATTTTCACGCAAATAAGCGTTTATATATAAAATCAAGATCAAAATTAAATTTTGCAGTAAATTTTGCTAGTGCGTAATTCATAGTTGATTAAATATGCATAATAGAAAAATGTTACTAAACAAAAAAAAATTTTTCATTTATTAGTTGATAGGTATAGATACATTTATCAGTAGTTCCATATATCATTGGTATTCTAGTTTACGTATTACGATTAAGATAAATTCAGAATAAAAATGAACTATTTCTATGATATATAGTTTCCATTAATGTAAGCACAGCACTTTGATGACAAAACAAAAATATTTTACACGTAAATCAAAATTGCAAGGATATTATAGTGAACGCTAAACTAAGATTACATTTCCTCTACAACTTTACATAAACTTTAAATAATAGTTCAGTTTTTATCATTTTCATACGCGCATTAAATGGATAAACAGTATCTCTCTATCAGTGGTAAACTTAAAATCTATAAATTACTCGAACATCTATCTATCGGATCTTGATTTTGTATTTGATTTTTTGGCACAAAATCAACATAAGACATATTCATTGGGTGTTACACCACAAGCTAAAAACTAAATCGTGTTTTTTAATCTCCGCCTCGGTATATATTATGTATACAGCGCCAATGCTCACTCCATCAAACCATTCAGACGTGACACGATCTTTCAAACAGCGTTTATACAAATAAAGAAATTTTTAAACTATTCTTAAAATACACCTACAAAGAAAACATCAATCTAATGCTTACAATTAGGACAATTCTAAATAATCACATAAAGAATCTCGAAAACTTGGGATTTTAGGGATGCTTGGGACAGATTTCGGCCCGCAATTTCCCCGTGTCGCGTAGGACTATTTCTCCACGCACATGTACAAGGCGACGGATTTCGGCATTTCTGAAACCTTATAGGCAGCGTGCAAAAGTTTGATACAGCACCAATTCACGTCAGTCGTTATAAAATAAAAGACGTTCTCAACGGTTTTCTCCTTTGAGCCCTGGCTAATTGTGTAAAACGCTTGCCGTTTGACATGAGTTGCTTAGCTAGACCGAAAATGTGTACAAAACATCGGCGCATTCTCCTCGTGTTTAGTGTTATTAACATGTGTATAGAAACTGTCCGTCATCGTTCGTGTGTGTGCCTGTTGAGTTGGGGTGTTGTCAATGAAACGTCATTTTTGTGCAAGGTACTTAATCACGATTTATTACATGAAAGAGCGACTTTAGCGGCTCGCCAACTGCGACCGCTGCGCGGCAAAAAATAAATAAACATAAATACAACAATTAACATTTATTTCAATCCATAGAACCATATAAGTTATAATCAAATGAAATACTACTTTTACGTGTTTATCAATATGGTTTTATGCTGTTGCAACTCCCAAGGTGAGGCGTTTTTTTTTTTTTTTCAAACAGAGCGGGACAGGAAATAAATAGAGGAGGTGGGGTGTGGGGGGGCGCGGGGTGCGGGTAGGCGATTCTACCGCGTTGCTCTAACATACAACTTCTTATTACGACACCTTATTAGAACAATATATATCCACATTCTTTTGGGGGAAACAGTTAATAGGCGTGTAACATGTATATAGTATAGGCATATTATATTATATTTTACTGCGTAATTCAATGTATACTTTTTTTATAACAAACAAGATGGAATATCAAATGCCACACTGCGCGGCCGTATTACATTAAGTCAATTACATTTAATACCATTTTGATATGAAATAGTGAATTTTAAACCGTCACACCTTTATAGTATCCCTCACATGTAAACCTTTATAGAAAAAACATTTTATTGTTCTCGCTTTTGTATTCATAAAATACTTTCAAATGCAACAACTTCTTAGTCTTAGTTCATAAACATTTTTTTTTAATTCAATTCAATAAACATTCAATTGACTCATTTATCAACGACAAAAACCTACAAAAATATATTATAACATTAGCACGAGTCAAGTAAAGTGCAGAGGAAACGTCCAGAGATGATGCAGTCAGTGCGGGGGACGTGGCCGCATATGCGGACGCGGCGGGGACGTAACGGGGACGCAACGGGGACGCGGCGGACACGTGGCGCCCTTCACGGCCGCGCCGCTCGGGGAGCGGTGTGTGGTACTGAGCGCCGATCCATATATACCTACATACGCGGGTCCTACCCAGTCACACGCGTTAGCGCGAGTTATTTTAATAACTAAAATATATATATACATACATATATATATATATATATATATATATATATAAACTTTCAAAAACGTTAACAACTACAGCCATAACAAAAATATACTAATAACGACTACGCTACGGAATCTACGTACTACCTAAACTATCTACTATGTAAATTTGAAACGAAACAAGTGTTCGTTTGCTACGTAGACGACGGGGGAGAGGCGAGGGGAGGGGAAGGGAGCGAGGGCGGGGCGTCCGGGGATTCGTCGTCCTCTGGGCCTCGATCCCCGGACGCCTCGCGGGCTAATCTCGTATGGAGCGTTCCTAAGAAGCGGGCCAGAGCGGGGCACCGGCCGGCCGCCGGCCCCGGACACGCGGACGGCACGCCGTTGCACTGGAGTCGTTCCGGGGACGGGGAGGCGGAGGGGGAGGGGCGGGGGGGGGGGGGGGAGCCGGCACGCGGGCTGCATTGCCCAGAGCGCGGTGTGCGGGACCTATTAACAACTACCTATATACAGACGACGCAGCCACTACACTTACATGCGATGCGAACGCGAGCCACTTGAGCAAACTAACCGCACGCGGCCGGCGCCGGTACGTTATAAATATTCAACAACGCTAAATTAGGGGGCGGCGCGCACCTGACATACCACGGAACGCGTCGGACCCGAATGGAGTATCGGTTCGCGCGCCGCTAACCAGCCCCGCCGAAGAACGGCGAGCCGAGTCGGGATGAGGTGTGACGACGGTATATCGCGAGTTCGAGCGGAGCTTTGGTTAAGATTCTCACATAACTAAACTAATAAATAAAACTTACGGTAACTGCAATATTGATTATTACTATGATATATCTGATAGCGTTACGTTGACGTGGGAGCTAGTTCGCCACTCGCAATCGCGCGGGAACTTGAACAGCCGCCGTCGGATTGAGACGGCTTTGGGCGTTGCGAGCTGAATTAGTGATGCGCGTTAACTGTTCATGCGAGATGGACGTTAGCGAAGTTACTCCCGTATAGAAGGGACGGTGTGAAATTAAAGTTACGGAAGGAGACGTTGGAGCAGTGCCCGCGGGGCGGTCCACTGTTGGGGAAAGGGAATGAAGGTTCGACCAAAGCCACAGTCAACAAGTCCATCATAACTCTCATACAACTAACGGTTACACGTCAGCGGAAGTACATTTAAACCGAACATATAAAAAGCATCCAAGATGGTGGTGATGTACCCGAAACCGGTAGCGGCGTCGCCCGCGACCTGCAACGGAAGATTGGCGTAAATAACATCGATTTTTATCGATACTTGTATCTAAAAGGCTGTCTTAAAACTTAGGCTACTTTTAGTTTATAAATCTTATTTATATTAAATTCCACGTGGGCGAAGTCGAAAATAAAGAACCGCTAGTGGAAAATAAAGAACTTTCCGAAATACTGAGTATTGAAGCTGTAACGTTGTCAAAGGGTAACATTTATTGTATCAATAAACTGTAGTAGGGCCACACAATGGTGTTCAATGTTGCAAGAATGGGCAGTCCAACTGGATAAGTGCCACGACCTGACAGAAGAAACAGAAGACCGGCGTAAAGTAGAAGTGTTACACTTCTGCGTTTCGTCTGGTGAGAACGGTAGCCGGGGCCCACTTTATTTAAAGGTGGCAATGCTTCTGAAACTCTACGGGTGTTGCGAATGTCCATGGGCGGCGGTTATCACTTAACATCGGGTGAATCGCCAGCTCATTTGCCACTTTGTCACATAAAAATAAACTTACTTATCGTGTGGCGTGTTTGTGCTATACGGGGTGGTGGGATTGCGGGCCGCTTAAACATCCGCGTACTTAGACAGCTTCTCGCGGAGGATATGGTTCTCCTTCTTCAGCAGCTCAACTTCCTGCCGCAGCCCCATATTCTGCAAAGTCCATCAGACCGGTTCGGTCAGTCGCCAGCCAGCTCAAAGAGCAATATATAATGACAAACGTGTAGTGCCGGAGACATTCTCAAGAAACTTTACAATTTACTTTGGGTGGAACTACTAGGCATTTAACTTGTTTACAGTCTAATATTTTGCTGGACACAAGAAACATTTTAATTAAGCAGGAAAAAAAATTATCCATGTTATATTTCTATACATCTGTTGTTCAACAATTAAGTCGATAATCGACGGAGAGTCGCCTATACAAGAGGTGCACGAGACATACAAATGATTTTAACAGGTATGAGTAAACAAATGAGTCGAAGCTCGTCACTCGGGGCTGACGATTCCACGTCCTGAACCACGCAACAGTTCAAGCTGCGCCCTGCTCCAAGATCGAACATCTCTGCTAAGCTCATCTCCACATACACTGCTCTAATCGCCCAGGGTCAAAGCCCTTCCATCGGATCCACTAACCTCCTTCTCGAGATAGCCCGCGCGCAGGGCGATCTGGTTCTCCTTCATGCGGCGCGCGTCGCGCGAGCGCTTGGCGGCCATGTTGTTCTTTCGCCGGCGCGCCCAGTACTTGTCGTCTTTCAGGTCATCGGGCACGAACTGCCGGCGACGTCGATATGGGGTTAACACGCCGCGCCACACACTAATACCACCCTTCACCCGCCAGTGGAACACAACGCGCGCGTTACGACAGTGCGTCGCCGGCGCGCACACGCGATCACCAGGGGAGGTTACTTTGGTTTGGACCGTCCACTGCTGGCCTTTAGGGGGCCTTCGCGGATCCACCGGCCTTGAGGTGGCCGGTCTCTGAAGGCACCCAGCCTGGACCTCGTGTATGCTCGAGGGCCTCGGCTAGGGCCGTCACTCTGTTAATAACTGGGCAGCTGCCAAGCTCTTTGGTCCCTTTGGAGGATGCTCCATGTAACAAGGCCGGTTCATGGTTGATAACTTAACACGGGCAGCATTCGACACGCGTCAAACTCAGACTAGGTTCTATCATTTCACTCGTAGAGGTACTGTTGTTCCGTATTGTGACGGATAATACGATCCTTATATGTGCCCTGCGCTTATTTAGTGGTCGCGTGTGCGTTCTTCCGTAGTTACAATGTAATATGGCATAAAAATAACGGAGGGTTTGATAGACATACATACGCCACTGATTCTCCTATCGAAATTTTAAATGAAACAATTTCTGTGAAGCAGTAAAGTAATACCATGGTGAGAACAGATACGGTAGTTGATGAATTAATAAAATACTTTTTATCTATTTCAAAAACTTTCATTATATGTATACATGTACGTCATTATTCAGCGACAAATTGGTTTCGTCGATACGAAACGATTCCAAATACATACGTTTAAAACAAAAGTTAGCTACATTTCAACTGCAAAACGTATCGAATACGTCGTTCATAGTATATTTCTTGATAACAATTGATGGAAGCTTTGATTAAAATATGTAACAATGGTATACCTCACAGAAATTATTCATACAGAAACGTACCATAAACCCGTTGGTGTTACGCACTATTTCATGCATGTAAACTAGAATATAGATGTTTGTATATACATTTCTTGTTCATCACTATTTTAAGGAAAGGGAAAATGAAAGAAAGATATCCTTGTTTCATTTTAGTATTTCATTAAATTAAAGAATATTTCTATTGTAGTTATAAATAAAAAGTATATTAGTCATGATAAGCTAAATGTGGTTATCGAAAATTTCCTACACTTAAAAAGCGTATAAGATAAAATATACATTTTATTTATATATTTACATGGTTAGTAAAGATTTGATGAAGCGTTAGATAAGCTAGTGTCATGCTGTAACATGGTGTCAAAGAGTGTGTAATTGTGAATGTAATTTGAAACAATCTTTTCAAAGTAAAACGTTAACGTTAACGTTTGCTGTTATATAAATAATAACTTTCCCTTCTTTAAATGGTCAGAATATTTACATTCATAATGTATGGTTCGACCATATGATACGGATTGATCACAAAAATAATTACAATCACCGTATACTATACCTAATAGTACAGAGTTTGTAAAGACGATTGAAATATGAAGACGAGAACGTGATAAAAAGAAAATCAAGATCGTTCACTGAATGATAATAAACTGCCTGGTAAATATCAGTTTTATTGTAAAATATCTTCAACTTTGCATAATAATACGTTCTTGATAAAAAGTTTTAAATGAAAAATCCTTATTAAAACACAAACTTTATCACTTTTTTTTTCATCAATATAAGCAATCAATGTAAGCGTACACTGCGCAGTTATGTTTGAATCTTTACCTTTAATTTGACAATTGAGGGAGATATGGCATTGCCACTTAAATCGTTTTTGAGAAGTATCATGTGTGATTGTAATATATTAAATTATAATGATATCAGATATTTTACATATAAAACAACATGTTCCCACGTCATTCAAAGCAGATTTGGTGAGACGATCCACGTCTCACCTAGCTTGTTTGATTCAAATTGTGATAAGTGGGACGTCACGTCACCTACTAATGTTAAAAACTTTATTAATTCACTTTACCGCTTTCTTAGATTATATATTGTAAAGTGGTAAAACAAACACAGACAACAATTGCTTCAAATGCTAAAAAACAATGTAGATAAAAGATGTTAAGATTTTCGTCGTCGAGATGTGGCAATCAGCCGTTTAGCTTACTGGCTAAAGCGTCAGGCCGCGAATGCCGAAGACGTGGGTTCGTTTCCGACAGCGGCGACAATCTTTACTTACTTTTTCTACAAATTTTGACGTTTAATCTTAAGTGCAGAGATCAGCAGTTTAAAAAAACCTTTAACAGACAAAATAACAATCTTCTATTTAAGTGACAGATACAATAATCAGCTCCTATTTACGTAATGAACGTTTACTTCCCGCTCTTTTCGTAATTGATTTTACAGGTAGAGTCACAGTTTTTCATGTTATTATGAATTTGGAATAACGATTAAGATTTTTTATTTATAACCATACGGCATCCGAATTTGAGCATCTTGAAGATCCCTACCAAACTCGAGCGAAATTAAATTTTATAATTTCATTTTTAAGCTCTATTTCTCTCAGGCACGTTTAATATTTTCAGTATGTATAATACACAGTCGGTCAAATGCGATTATTTATAACTCTATCGATCCTAAGAAACTTTCTTGATAATAAGGCTTACGATATAAGTAGAAGACATGGTTGTTCCTAATGCAATTATTGTGTTTTAGGATTATGATTCCAACGAAGTTGAAAAATTCAATAGCCCACAATCTTCGGTGGACAGAAAATTATTCTTAACGTATCAAGGAGAAACCATTTCAATATTAAAATCATTAAAATTTTAATGTTCAATCTTAAGTGCAGAGATTAGCACTATAATTTTTTTTTAAAAAATTGTTATAGAAGCAAGCCTTACCGTAAAAAAGGCTTGGTTTTATGACGCCCCGGCTTCGCACGGGTGCAATGTATCATACATATTAACTTTCCTCTTGAATGACTCTATCTAGTAAAAAAAACAGCATCAAGATCCTTTCCAGGTAGTTTTAAAGATCTAAGCATACAAAGGGACGGACTTTGTTTTACTATATAGTGATTAATTATTTGTATCATGGTATTGTTGTAAAAACAAATCCGTCATCTAGAGGGCACAAGTTGATGCGAATGGCTGCTGAGACGCTACAGGCCCGCTTGTGTAGTCAAAAGGGTGAACGGGGTGTGTTATGCCAATTTTGAAATTTTGAATTTAGAATAGTGAGCTGTTTGTCCACGCATTCGGACGTGTTCCTGTGTGAGTGTACGAGTACGTTAATGTGTGAGTGACGCCGCACCCCGCAGGCTGTTTGCAGCATGCCGCTAGGAATGATCAGCGCACTAACATCATTTACCTGTTTCCGGGACTTCTTGATCATGGGCTGGGGCTTCAGCTCCTCGTCGGAGAAAGCGCGCGTACGGGGATCGAAGTCGCGACCAGATGACGCCATTGAGAATGCTGAAATTTTAGAACGGCACCGTTGAGTAAGGCCACAGAAAACGTTTTGTCGAAGATCTGCTGAACCGGATTCGCGCCTTCAGACAGTTGTGGCTAGGGCGGTCAAACTTTCACAGAGCTTATCGAGTCACAGATTAGGATACCTAGCCATCCTCGGTCTTTCGGTAAGAATTATTATAAGTAGTGACTTTAACAAAAGAACTTTGGTAAGAGTTAGTATCATTACAACCGTAATTGAACATATGGACTTAAGAGCTCTTAAAACCGGCATCTGTCAGTCATAGTTGCACCTACATAAAGATATGCGCCATAGTGTATTTCTTTTTTGGAATTTGTTAAGATTAGCGAAATTATAATTATGGCAACTGAACTTAATGAAAAAGATTTAACGACCAGAAAGAAATATCAGGAGCTTGTAGCCATTGATACCAACCTAGCTCCTCGTGTGAGAGTTTGGTGTTGGGTTCGAGACTTATAGTGACCACAGAATGAGGCTCAGTGGTACAGTAAAGGGAATGGACAGAATTTATACGGTATATGACGGAATCTACTAGTAAATATAAGAGGATACAACCAACGCTTTAAAATATCATCATTACATAATAATTTTTTTTTTTTCATTTTTCATTTTCATTAAGTACTGTTTAAAGAAGGCTTTAATGGTAACTATCAGAGTTATTCGTATGTTCGCTAAGGTAATCGAAAGTCTTCCAATAAATCGTGAGTGAAATCGGATACCTCATTGCGCATATGTGTTACAATATTTTTCATTTAATTTCAAATCTGCGCAAGCACACTTTACGATTGGTTGCGTGCGTCCTAATGATAGTCACAAACCAAGCGGACGTGGAACAAGAACATAAGAAACTTGGCGCGTGTAAAACGAAAGTTGAGGTCGAGGAGCGCGTGGAGATAATCGCCTGCGATAATCGCACGCGTATTCTGGACACGAAACAGTGCCTTGCGGCGTTCGTATGATGCAAAGGGTGGGGGCTCACTTGAGTCCGCGGGCGAGAGCGGCGGGTTGATGGTGTCTGGGCTCATGCACTCGGAGGGCGAGGGTGAGCGCTCGCGCTTGGTGACCGGCGGCTGCAGGCCCAGAGCCAGCCCGGCGCCCGGCCCGAAGGCCGAGCCGCCGAGGTGGGGCCCCCCCAAACCCTCGCCCGGCATGCCATTCTCCGACAGGAACTCGTCTAGGTCCACGTACTGAAAACATCCGTGGTGATACATAACGCGTCGCACGCTCACACCGACACCACGACTGCGAGCGGCGCCCGAACAGTCTCCAGTATGCGTGCGGGAAACAAAACACGTTCGGATTAATCGTTACGCGAATCAATCGGCAAGTTTTGTTTCGTTACCGAATCACACTAATCGCAACAGCAATATTACTAGGAAATAAAACGAAAACGTTCGCAATCCGCTCATTCGCTTGCCACAGCAAAGGAAAAGAACATATAGTATGCACATTTATAATGGTCAACTTAAAACTAATAACAAAGTAAACACAGCGGCACGACAATCGAGCGTTGAACGAAAGATTGCAGAAGCTACTCTATTACCTAGTGCGAGCTTGAACTATTAGGAAGCCGGTGAGAGACGCACACGACACGCAACACGCAATAGGTAATAAAGTTCGTGAATACTGACTTCTTGTACCTTGAGATCGGGGTCGTAGGGCAGCGTCTTGTCCCAGAGGTTGGGCCCCAGAAAGGCGGCTTGCGCCTCCCACAGCTCGTTGTCATCTTTCTTATCTTCTAGCGTGTCCTTGCTATTCACCGACTTGCCTGCAACAACAATAGCGTGTGCCGGGTCACTGCAAGCCCGCGGTCCGCCCGTTCCGCCCACACACGACAACGGCGCGCCGGGCCAGGTACCCAACCAAGGCACCACTCCCCACAGACAAACCAGAACTGTGCGGAGTAAAATTGCCGCTTATTTGGGATTCGTGCACAGTTGTCGGTGTGGTCCCGTGGCAACAGAAGGGCATGGAGCGCTTGGCGCATTCACATCCAACGCGTCGCGGTACAAATAATGTAATGATAGAGAAACAAAATGTATAGTGGTAATGTATGTAAACAAATATTCGCCGTGCTTATAACATGAAATCGAGTCGCAATGGCAGCACATAGACAGTGAAAAATGGCAACTTTGATAAGCTTAAATTTTATTCCGGAAGTGTTAGTATAATATACGAGACGGAGAGTTAGAAAAAAATAACGTACACGTCATGATCGCATGTCGCACAAAGGCGGAGGACAGACAAACAAGCCTTACGTTTACGTATTTCAACACCGCGTACTAAGAAAAATTAACATATCTGATATGTATTTCTATGGTTTGATACTTTATTAAATGGAATCAGCTGATTTCAACTTCAGTACATCATCATTAATATAGTTTCTAATATTTATATAACAACTTTCTTGAATGTAAATTCAGCGTTGGAAGCGAAATCGATATTGATATCTCTTAATTTGCTTACTTGCTCGGCGCATTTAAATAAAAAAAAGAAACGCCTGTCCATTTATCACTTTTAATTTGGTCTCGTCTCTAGTTATGACTTTCAATTTTATGCGCTTCATAATAGTCTTTAGCAGCGTACATTACATACAACGTTGAAATAATAAACGCATGAGGGAGCAAAGTTTAAAAATATGGTAAGTACCGTATTATCTGTACACAGCATAAGTTGGAATTACTATAGTGGCACGTGTCTGCAGTGTTCCGTTGAAGGGCGAAAGGTGAGCGAGGGGGGAGGTGGCCGGTGGGGGGCATTGGCGTCACGAGGCACTACACGCATGTAAAGAGCGGCCTCGTGACAAAGCCAGCACTTTTGGTCGTTCCGTGATACTTAATTGGATTTGCTGTCACCGCAATCATCGCAGAGAGAGAGCTGTCGATGACAGCGGAGCTCGCGTTCAAAAATCGATTTTATTTTAATTAGGTCCTCCCTGTTCAGCCGTCAGATAGCGTGCACCGATCATTCGATTCATGATTCGGGCTAATTGGAAAAGATCGTTGGGCACGCGGATTGCATCAGAGTGACGTCAACATCGGAAAACGATGAGAACGTTGTAACTCACGTTATGTGGCGAATTCTTGATAGAATCCATGTGAGCCGTGGGGTGTTCTGAATTATTGGACTTTTCGAAGAAATAAAGTAAGGCTAATATAGAACGTTTCTAAGGTGAGTATTAAATGAAACACGGCCTTTATCAAAAGTGTAGTATGCAAGTCAATGGTATCAACAATTATAAATATTAGTGAAAAATATAAAAAAAATATATGTATTAGTAAAAAACAAAACTAGCAACTTATAAAGGTATGTATGATTAGAGTTTCTTTATTCATAAATAATGGCATATACAACCAATTGCGAAGATGTTCACATTCTTAAATTTGTGGATTAAACACACGACGTCGTTGTATCTCAATATAAAAATGGATTTATTAACGGATCTTTATAAATGCCTATAAAGTTTAATGCCAAGAAAAAGTCTATTGCATCGGTAAACATGCACAACGCCAGACCGGCACAATCTAATAATACCGGATCAAAATCCTACCAGAGGGCGTTGGCGCGCACGACCTACGTTTCCACACGTTTAGACCGACGGCATGCTGGTCTTTGGGACCGCCATGCAAGCGTCTGCAACTATCGGCGCGGTCGACGCCAAATCGCTTCCTCATGAAAAGCGAACGGGGCGGGCCCAAGTGGTGATGGCAGGAAGCGGGAAGTAACCTAGGGGGCTCTGTTGCGCGCGCTGCCACGCTTTCGTTCGACGTTCCGCGCGGGCGACGCACGCCACACCCGCTCGATTGCGCAGCCGCCGACTGGAACCCTGGGGCTTCCCGGTGGGGCCGACGCCTTTGCCTCTCGGCTTCACACTGGCCGCTTTGTCTCCCGAGTACAAACTGGCTGATTCGTGTCCCGACTACAAACTGGCGTATTCGTGTCTCGCTACACACTGCCGGATTGCGCAATAACACTGATTGTTATTTCTCCGTTATAGCCTTAATACTGCCAAACCGCGGCTGAAAGTTTCTTTCGCCAGTGGCCAAAGGCTCCGTAAAAAGAGGAAGATCTCATAAAACTGTAATGAAGTAATAAGTTCAGTACAAAATGTACATCCTTTCTTGGCTTTAAGTTGAAGTTTGTTGCTCAATAACATAAAATGATAAATAATAAAATAAAATTTTGTTTAAATTACGAGTCTTCAAAATTTACACTCTCAATTGGTATTTTTATAATTTCTTGTCTTGTCATAGTTTAAAATCTATTCAACTTTATACTTTTATTTTATTTTTGATCCTAGTTTATAGTAAATTATTATATTTTTATATACAAAAGAAGCGGGCCATTAACGATCAGAACCTGACTAACTTGTAATCCGTAAACGACGTAAAACGACCTTGTTGTCGGTTATCTTCATAATAATAATAAGTAACAAATAATGGTGTTCGCGCGGCACGGGCCGTCCACGGGGAATCCCACGGAGGTACCCACGAATGCGAGGCCCACGGCCCACATCTGGGCGGCTTTGCTGGGATCGCTTCCGCGTTCACTTTCATCGCGCGGGAGAAAGTCGCGGCGGTGACGGCATCGCGACACTATGCAAAGCCAATCAAGAGTCGGCCGCGCGCAATAGCACGGTGGCTTTGTGTTGCAGTACCCGTTAATTAAACTGGCTTGTCGGCTCGCACCGCGCACGTGACCGGCTGTATGTGCCGCGGTGAACGATCTCCAAATACAACCACAATAGGGACATTCTTCGAGGAGTTAATTTCGAGAAATAAACGACAAAACAACTCGCCGCAACCGGGGGACAAGTATCAAACATTTTGAGCTACGACTCTGACCAAACATCACTGAAATTGACAAATCCGAATCATCCACTTGACAGTTCAGCGCTCAAGCCGGCTCTGCGCGTAATCTCGATTAACATCGAAGGATTCTCCGAGGACAAGTCAGAACTGCTGTCAGAATTATGTCGTACAACGCACTGCGATGTCCTCTGTGTACAAGAAACCCACCGAGATGAAACGCAAAGCCGACCACACGTAGTTGGACTCACCCTCATCTCCGAGACTTACCACCCGAAATACGGTAACGCAGTATTTGTTACTCCCGGAGTGAGTGTTAAATCGACAAAGTGTTCGACCCAGAACGGCATTGAGGTCATCACCTTATACCTCGATCACTGCTCCGTAACATCCGTATACAAACCACCCGGTACACCTTTTAAACTCGATCATCTTGAGAGCTTAATAAATGACCAGCACAATGGAATTATAATCGGCGACTTCAACAGCCATAACCCACTTTGGGGCTACAAAGACCTGGATGAGAGCGGTCAGGCACTTGAGACATGGGCTGAAACGAACGACCTGGTTCTGTTTTACGATCCTAAACAACCGGCGTCCTTCAACAGTGGCCGATGGAAGAAAGGATATAACCCAGACCTGGTTTTCGTTAGTTCTAACATAAGCTCTCAGTGGATTAAGACCGTGTGCGCGCCAGTTCCTCGCACCCAGCACAGGCCCATCATGTGCGATATAATACCAGTTGTTCAGCCCTTACAAGTTCCACACAAACGCCGATTTAACTACGCAAAGGCTAAATGGGAGCAGTTTGCGAAGGAAATCGACGCCCTTCTGAATGTTAAATATAAATTAAACACCTTGGGCCGGTCGCAGTGTCCTGGTTGCTTCAAATGTTCAACTGTTGTCTTGAAACCTCCCAGATACCTCGCTCCTGGAGGAAATCGAAGGTCATAGCTATACCTAAGCCAGGGAAACCATTAGATGACCCCAAAAACTTTAGGCCTATCGCATTACTGTGCCATACATACAAACTTTTTGAACGGCTTCTACTAACTCGCCGCACAAGCCTTATAGACCTAAGATTAATTCCAGAGCAGGCAGGTTTCAGACCCATCAAGTCATGTTGCAACCAGGTACTTAAGCTCACGCAACACATTGAGGATGGCTTTGAGAGGGGAAGAGTGACAGGCGCTGTGTTTGTGGACCTCTCGGCAGCCTACGACACATTTCCATCGAGTCCAAAAACCTCCCGCTTCCTTTACGCGGATGGTCTTGCACTTACGTCCCAGTCGACCAGTTTTGACGAAGTTGAGAACAATCTCACCGCAGCTCTCAACAGTTTAGGCCAATACTACGACGAGAACTCACTCAAGCCTAACCCAACCAAGATTGAGTCGAGCGTGTTCCATCTACGCAACGCACAAGCGGGATGTAGGCTCGGGATCTCCTGGCGCGGAGTGCCCATTGCGCATAACGACTCCCCTAAATACCTCGGCGTCCTGCTGGACAGATCCCTCACTTTCAAAAAGAATTGTGAGGGCCTTAAACGAAAGGTCGCAACAACCTGCTACAGCGTCTAGTACGTACTGAGTGGGGAGCTACGCCACAAGTGATGCGGACTTCAGGCCTAGCGCTAGCATTTTCTGCCGGAGAATTCGCGTGCCCCGTATGGGGCCACTCGGCTCATGCTAAGCTCGTGGATACAGCCTTAAATGAAACCTGCCGTATAATAACTGGATGCTTGAAGCCAACCCCGGTGAAGTTGTTGTATCCACTGGCTGGCATAGCGCCGCCAGTTGTACGCAGAGTTGTAGCTCACTAGAGAGGGCTAAGGCGGACGAAGATAAGCGGCACCCCCTACATGGGCATGAGCTCCCACCGCAAAGGCTGAAAAGTCGAAAAAGTTTTTTGAAATATGTCGACCCCCTCAAAACCGAGCCCTCTCAAGCGAGCTCTCTGTGGCGTGCTCAAACTCTGCTTCCAGATCCGTTTGTTCCGCTTTCTGAGAGTCTTCCGGCTGGTCATAGACTACCTTGGCCAACCTGGAAGTCTTTAAATAGACTTCGGACTCAGGTTGGCCGAAGCAAGGAAAATATGTTCAGATGGGGACTCTCAGAAAACTCAGACCTGGACCTGTATGTGTGGAGCAGTACAGTCCATGGCCCATCTGATGTCTTGTCCTGCCTGCCCTTTCACCTGTTCGCAGCAGGATCTGATGGATGCCACAAATTGTGCTGTCGAAGTGGCTAAGTTCTGGGCTGGGAAGATATGATTTGTCATCGACACGTAAAGAAGAAGAAGATTGAAATTGAGATGTGTCTCTTAATTTTAATTTATTATGTTGTGTAAAAATGTCGATGAGTGCAGGTGGCTCGGAATCTTACTTCGTGGCAGTCAATGGGGGAAGCCTATGTTCAGCGGTGGACTCAAACAGGCTGAAATGATGATGATGACGATGAGTAAAGATATTTTCTAAGGAAAATGGGCTATTTCAACCATGACTGACATCGGAAAGGGTCACGATAGTTTCCTGGTGTCGGTAGGCCTTATCCCGGTACTATCGGGATTTTATACTTTCGATTTAGAAAATAGGACGCCTTTCGGAATAGACACCAATAGCGCGGCGGCCGCGAGTTTCGTTGAATTCGACGGTTACTAGCGCACGTGTCGGTGAAAGTGTTGTCGAAATGAGCGCCGAGCGGTGACGCGTCCACTCTCACTTTCCGAGTGGATGGTAGAAAGTGAAGCCCGAATCGCTCTCGGCCCGGACTTTCGTGGGCGGCGATCGGCTGACCCCGTGAATTTTCAACCAATGTTCTGCCAAGCCTAGTATTGTCTCAGCTCCGTCATAAGCTTCGCAATTGATTAACGGTGAAGCTGTACATAGTCCCCAGGTCGTAGCCCTGGGGACTATGTACAGCTTCACGTAATAGCGCCAATCATAAAGACTTCCTGCTCATGCCAAATCAATATAGGGTACCATTAGTAATAATACTTTTTTTTTAAATTCATTTCTATTTGACTATCTCAACCTCGACTTGAACCTTTCGTAGCAATGCAGCAAATTTATGATCTGTCTGCATCATGCAAGCTTCTTGTGCTGCAAGCATGCAAGCTTACTATGTACAAAATGTACGCCAATTTTACTTTCAATTGTCTGACTTCGTGTCAGAAACTTTTTCCAGGAACTGCACCGGAAGACGGAACGTAAAGAATAACAAGAATTCGTTTAGCAAAGATCGAACATGTCTATTATACATTAATAACACTACCTAGTAAAGGCTTTGGCTGCAAATTACATTTGAAAGTCATAGGTAAATTAAAAAATTGTAGAGAAGTGTTAAATATTTCTTCATAGACTTTTCACAAAGAGCTGTCGAAAGAAACTGAATTCAACATCATCAGTTTGAATTCAAACTATGCTTTCAGCGAAGCCCGTTGCCTCCAATCGCTAACTGGCAATCAAAAGAGACCCGCGTTTTCCGGACTCATCGTGCTTAGGAAATCCTCTAGGGACCTCTAGGGACCTCTAGGGTTGCCGCTGGCGATGGAAATGCGGACCGGCTGGCGGTCCCTTGTTGCAATTCATCGGACGCGGCGGCTGTACGGCGGATTATTGAAAGTGCAAGCGCTTCCATACGGCCTCAACGCGGGCCGTAGGAATGCCGCGCGAGTGCCGATGGAAAGTGGTTGCGCAACCGCCGCGCCGCGCTTCCTACTTGGAAAATATAGGTGAGGAGTGCCGCTTACTGCACGGGGCTGTGGAGAGGGGGGTGGAGAGGGAGGGCGGGCAGTAGGGGGGAACGGGAAGTGGCAGCGCTTGCGCAACGGTGAAAGCCGCCGTTTTCCGGCGACGTGCGATCATTTTCGTGAACGTGTGAATTGAGCGAAAGTGAACGAGAAAGTCGAGATCGCGCGAGCCGTCGTCGACGCGCTTCTGTCCCAGGGCTGCCGGTGCCTGACACTCGCTGCCCGCTTTATAATAAAACGTGGAGGCGGGACGCCAGCTGTTGCGCTCTCTGTCCCACTTACTGGTATTATGGGGAGGCGTAGTAACGCACCAATGTCGGGTATCAAACGGGCGGCGTCCTGCTTCCACGTTCTATTAACACGCGGGCGGGTAGCGTTTGACATCACTGTAGTAAATAAACAGAGCCGGCCACGAGGGCAGTGGCGCGTCGTGCCACTGAACGGGCGTCACGCAAGCTAGTAGGCAACGCGCGACGAGTCGAGATCCATTCAATTCAATGAGCTCGCTCTCTTCGCGCATCCAGACAGTAGTTCTCGCTTCTAGCTTTTTTAGTTCCTAGACGTTATGTTACGAGAGATGCGTTACGATGATGCACCTATTCACTACCAGAAGTTAAGAACAATTGCGCATTTTCACAGCATGCTTAAAGACAACTTAAAGACACCTAATACATTGAGACAAATGCGCCATGCACAAACCGATTAGAGATAATTTATATTATTGCGACAAGACTTAGCTGTTCAACGTAACTTGTCGGCGATAAAGTAAAATAATTCTACTCAATTATTGGACAGCGATTCATTCCGCATTTTTTTTTTCAAATGTCTACTAACAGTTCAAATAAAAAGTTATGACGGCATTAAGAACGAACTGACTTTGCACCGAGGTTATATTATAAAAGCAAAACTTAAGTTTTATAATATGTAGTGTATGTATCATAGTAAATATGCTATGAAATAAAATCTGTAGAATACTTTTGTATTTTATATTCACTGTTATGTCACGTTTGTTCGTTCTTCGATTTTTTTTAAAGTCGAGAGATCGATGACAATATAATACAGTACTACGTCTCCTTCTAAAAGCCATCGCCTTGTCTTCCAAAGGAAGTAGAGGCTAGATAGAGAATCGCATCTCAGATTCTCTTTCTCATCCAAGATATCTCCTTCCGCTTCTCGTTGCGCGCACGCGAGGAAGAATGTGAACGCGCGAATCGATTACATCTGAGCAGATACCAATCGCGTAGTTCAGTACGCGAAGTCGGCAGTCTGAGGGACAAGATGGAGGGGGGAGGGGGCAGTCACGTTCCGCTGCTTATCACCGGAGTCACGTTTGCCCATACGCCGCATGTATCGGCCGTTTTTTATTCGAACAACGATCTCAGAGGAAATCGACTATGACATACAAACGTTACGAAATCGCTTAGCATATTTGACACGAGACCAGAATGCGGGGACCACGAAAACTGTGGACCCCATGGCTTTCGATCGTTTCATCTAGTCGAGGTAAATGATATCATGCGTTTAAAGTTATGATGTAAAATCGACTTGGCTTTTCGCTTGTTTAAGCGAGAAAAGTTTCATTGGCCAATGCATTTACAATATATATATATCAATTTTGTAAAGAGAAGACCAACAGAAATTTCGGAGGTACGAGTTACTGGAGTTACACAAGTTAGTTATACAAGTTAATTACATTTTCTTTTGTAACTTCAATGTATGTATAAACTTACGTTATTGTAAAAAATAAATAAATTCCTTACTATAAGGTACACCGTATCTAAGTTTAATTGGGTCAGCGTCATTAAGCTGTCTCTTTGAAGGTTGTTACTTTTTAAATATCAAAAGACATTTATTGTATACGGTAAGATCTATTTAAAATTAAAAAGACTTTACCGAACCGAAATTTTAAATAAAATGTAATTTATTTCACTAGTTTTCCGTCATAAATATTATTATACAACGTTCATGTGAACTTTCTAATGACAGTTGCTTCAAATAAAAAACAATTTTGAATTTGTTAAATTCGAAAAATACAATCAAAGGTATATATATGTATATGTATGTACATAAATATGCAATCTGTGGGGAATTTCCTCGCTGTAATTGCGAGTTGTTAAACACTTTATGCGCGGCTCGATCAAGCGTCGGAGCGGCGTCGGCGCAAAAGTAAAAGTCGGAAGGTGGATAGTGCCGGGGGAGGGAGGGCCGCGCAACTCAACGCAACGCGGAAATGCAACGGAAAGTAACTTTTACTCTCGACGGACGGCGGAAGCTGCGCGGGCGGCTGTACGGGCATGCGACCGACCGCAGTGAACCAGTAGACTAGTGTATACACCCGTTTTCCCTTTCGATGCAACGCTCTAACGTTGCGCAACCAATTCATATTCAATGGAAAGCCTACACGCTGTGCGCGGTTTGAGGTAGGCTTTTACGGTATGTTCCGCGTGGAAATGGAACGGTGAATATCAAATTTTATGAACCGCGAAAAAATGGAACCCTTTATCAACAGGCATTTAGTACATTAAATGAAATCAAGTTAATGAAATTACTTGTAAAATATATTTATATGTATAAGAGTCATAATAATATATCATACGTTAAGGTTTCTTAATATTAAGTAATAAAAAATCATTTCTGACAATTAGAATCAAGTTTCCTCGCAAATTCCAAAAAGCTGTGAGTTTAATCTTTTGTCCAATCAGGCGAGCTCGCAAGTAGGTCGGTGCCTCGGCTAAAACCTCCGCTGCTCAGATACAAGTGAAAGTAGCTAGACCAGATAATAAAGTTTAGGAGTTCTTTATGGTACACTGTAGGTAACAGAGATTTCAGTAATTTTGCATAAAATTAATTTGATATAATACATTTCGATTTGCAATTGCGCACGGTTTAAAACATTTTAATCAGTAAGGTCTATTCAGCGTTTAAGCTCTAATTCTGTAATTTTAATTTCAATCCACAAATTTTGGACTAGAATAATGTGATATTTTTAATGATGAAATTTAATTCTTTGTTGATACAACTACCGTAGTTTTAAATATTGACCTGAAAATAAGTAAAACTGTCGTAGAAGTGACCCTTTGAAAATTTTATAATTTATAATATCATTTTAAAAATTTAATAGAAACTTTTATTAAAAAAAAAATATTTTCAATTATTTTTAATTAATTTCAAATCGCTTACAAATTACTACCTACTATGTTTGACATTGACTGCACTATCGTTGAGTAGACATTACAATTAAGATAAATAATTATTTTACGTCAACCCCTGCAGATGATCCGGTTCGGAGATTTGCTCTGGCTTTGTTGACTGTACGTGTTCATTCATTTATTATCAAACAAGTTCATTTAGTAACAGTTGTTATTCATTTAATTTTTATATAGCGCATTTAGTTTTAAATGTGTGGTTGTGTGTGTTTTATTCAACTTCCGTTCAAGTAGGTTTTTATAAATACGAGGGTATTCACGGGACCTGTATCGGCTTTCTGCTTTGCCTGCATTAAGCTACCGACCATACGTTTTGCGAACAAATCAAGTTCCTTTGATATTCGAAACAAAGCAATGGTTGCCACGTAACATTTATGCAATACTAACAGCAGGCGGACACCAGCATTTACAAGGACCATGATTAAGATAATAATCTAATTCTCCACAATAATCCAAGTCCCCCTCGACAAAAAAGGCAAATAAATTGTATAATACTGATAGTTTATAATATATGGTATGTTCTGCTCCAAAAAATAATTTCTAGTCTGTTCTTGGTAACCGCAGTCAAGAGCCGTATCGTATACCTCATTTACTGTTTGATCGGACTAAGTTTTTATATGCTTTAAATTATATAATAAAATATAACAGATAACAGCACAACCTAATTTATGATTAGGTAGCTCTCTTATATATAGGCGCTGTACTAAGTGAAGTTTCTATACATTAGTCAAATGTACTTACGACATTATCGATAAGGAAAATAAAATGTTTATATACAAAAGACTTCCTGAATTGCACATACAATGAATTATTATGTATATTTTTATGTGCCGTTTGGAATTAAACAAGAAAATCATTGGTCAAAAAGTCTAAATGATTAGGGTTTATATTCTTTGCGTGCTGCTCTTGACAGATGTGATATTTCTTACATGTAGAACATAGGATTTTTTTCAATGCTGAGAGAGAATCGAAAACACTTATAATATGATTGAGGTTATAATTATGTACTAAATAGTTTTCGGCAGCTCAACAATGTATATACATGTAAATGTAATATAGTTTAAGCACGATATATACATTTACTATGATATACATTTTTATTATCTAATTGAAAATAACACTCCGAGTTTTCCGCACTGACCCGACCCGCAATCGCTCAAGTTTAATGTAAACGCAATATTGTGTAACAAGATAACTCAAATCTCGTTCATAAACTTCTATTACTCGAAGTCTATTCGGTGACTCGGCCGTGTGTGTGATGCTCTCACGGCGAGGGGTCCGCGGTTCGTTCTTGCGAGCGCCGTCGGCTTAAAAGTAAAAGTGCTCTCTGGCAAGCGCGGAAGAAAGCACGTGCTAGGGGGCGGGGCGCGGGGCGGGCGGGGTGAAAGTCGCGAAAAGGTCGACACTTTTTCCCAAATATTCGGAGTGAAAGTGCGCGGCCACGCTCGAATTGATCACAAGAAATAACGGGCTGCCCGCCTGCCGAAACGAGCGATGCCCGCCAGCTCCGTCCACCGCTGCACCTCGTATCATCCGAGTGTGCATTGCATTGACGCACTGGTTTTTTGTTCATATGCATCCACGTACGATAATTACGCCACATCCGCATTAGCCTTCTAATAACACAAGGACGACAAACGATAAACAAAATTGCGTTGCTAATTATTAGACTCTAGTAAAATAATTTAAAACGATATCAAAGGTCCCCGAACATTCACATTTGTGTGTGAATAAAAAAAACGTCAATTAAAGATAGCGAGCGAAGTGTAAACAGATAGTATGATTCCGCAGTAATGAGACGAGACTAGGCGGTGAATACAAACCAAGCAACTACTGAGACATGTCGTGTGAATGAATGCGACAACAAATAACAATTTGATTCCGTTTATTGGTAACTAGCCACACGATCGTTATGGAATGTTTTAGTAGAATAAGCAGGTGAGTTTTCCGTCACATTTAAACTCTGCCTGATGAGAGTTTCTTGCTCAATCTTGAACAACGATCCGAGCAAAAAATCTCATCTATTGTTATTAATGTCGTCGGTTATTTGCTAGATATGGGAATACGCTTCCAGTTACATATAAATAATGCATTATAGCGGATACTTCGTTCTTAATTGACCATCAACGTTAATAGGTCGATAGAAAAACATGCAAATTAAATTGTCTCTTTCTCAAAATGAAATACGATAGAGCGATCCTGATTTAAAAAACAAACCGTTCGCAACGTGGAAAGGAGTAGAGTCAAAAATTTAAATTAATGGGCATTTTCACTCCCTTAATAAAAAAGACCATTATGCATGTACATACATATTTGTCTCCACAAATTTAGGCGAGGCACACACTACTGGAGTCAAGGCTAAGACTACACGTGTTAGATCTTGGTTGATGATAATAATTATTAAAGAGGAATCCTAGATAACCCCTGTTCACGTTTAGATAACGCTAGTAATTTGAATACAACTGACCTAAATCAGTCTTGACTTCCGCGTGGTAGAGAAGAACAAATTGACATCTTCGGAGGATCGACCATCGACCAGCAGCTTCCAAAATTGATAGGTGTAGATTTAATTTTTGACAAATATTAACAAACATTTCGGAAACGTCAAATTGTTAAATTTTTTTTAAATAAAAGTCTTAATTTATGTGAAATAACTTTAAGGCAGGCCGTGCTCAAACAAGGCCAGAGTATAGAGCCCTTTAGGGTCATCGGGTTCATTAATATTCTACTAATAAAATTTCACACCCAAAGTTCCTAGTTTGAATTATCTTTTACCAGATGTCGATACTAATTAGATAAATGGAGGACGTCAAGTTGCTTCCAATTACACGACACTCCGTGATTAACCTCGTCTACATTAAACATGAATACTGATTTTATGGCCTAAGCTTATCAGTTATTTTATATGTAGCAGCAGAATGATGACATTTTCATCTACGTATGATACGAACATTGGGGAACGGACGACGGTAAATAAAATCAATAATGGTGGTGTTTAAACCTAAAATATTGACCGCCACGGGGGCAGCAAGCCGCACTCTAAAATATTCAGTTTACAAAGGCACTCTCCAGATTCATAATTAATGGGATATATTTGTGAAAATGTTGTCGCCAACGAATGTTGCAAAATGTTTTGTATTTTTAAATTTTCCACAATTAATTATTTATGATCCTCATTTAAGATAAACATCCCCCCCAATACAATGAAACTTTAATTTTGAATTGATTTCGTCCGTTCACAAGTGATTTTTGGTGTTGATATTTGTGGAATACATGAAATTAAATGTTAAAAAGTTTCTGGTCTTATTTTAAAGACCCAACATGCGTCGGATCTTTAAATGCGTAATAAAAAGGTTCCGAATACGTCCAGTTTTATTTCATATTTGACTTGAAAATCGTCAAGATATAAAACTTAACTCAGAACTTAGCAGTTTTAAAAAGATTTATGGCCGAGGACATGATGGTGGAAATTCAAAGCCTTATAATAAATACATCGTGTTTCCGTAAAGTAAATAGCATCAAGCCTTATCGCATAATTTCGCGTCTCTCTAGGGCTTCTAACACTCTGACAAACTAATCGCATTTGAGATTAAGTGCCTTCCGCGTGTTTCTCGCTTGTCCAAACGTCTTCATATACAGCCCTCGGTCCTTCTGTTTATTATATCCATGTTTGAAATCCAATTCCAGATTCCACCACGTGGTGTCAAATAAAAGGATTTCAAGTGTTTACCCTATAATCATTCTTATACTATCCTATGGTATAATTGACATAATTATGCAATTCAACAATGAATTAGTTCCGGTTGAACGCTACAATCATTAATTCAACACTTTAGGCCAGTGATTTTGATGTCGTATTATAAAGTTGTGTCAAAGTAAAACATCGTGGAGTTTCAAATAATACGAGTACGACAAGTTAATAAGCTAAAAAAAACTGGCATTAGAAATATTCCGTGCGACAGATGTGAACTGACTGTATTAATGTGGCACATAACAAAGATCTGTCGATACCCGAAAACTTCCGCTGGAGGCGCGTTGTCAGGGTACGGTCGCGCACTTTCTCTTTGGGGGCGGCCGCGGACGGCGTACGCTGGAGAAAGTGCGCGAGCGCGACCCGCCCGCCGGCTGGCTGCGAACACTGACCGTTCACGAATACGTGCTGCCTCCAGATGTGGTACTGGCTCCAGCGGTCGTCGTCCTGCACGTGGCCGTGCTGCAGCTGGGGCAGCGTGGGCAGGGGCGGCGGCGGCGCGGGCGGCAGCAGTTGCGGCGGCGGCGCCGGCGGGCCGAGCGGCTGGACGGGTTGCGGGTGCTGGTACTCCATGGGGCGGGCCGAGGCGCATGCGACGCGCTCCCACACTATTCACACATCGCGGCGCGGGCGCAGCTGAGCGCTCGGGGCGCGGCAGGGGCGTGCGTGCGATCGCGGCGGCGTGCGGCGCGCGAGTCACCAGCCCGCGGCCCGCAGCGCCCGCCTCCCCCTCCCCACGCCGCAGCGCCACCACCACCACGGCGGCCTCCCCACCCACCCGGCTTCCGACGCTTCCTCGCCGCGCGGCACAGTTTTTAATTGCGGTGACATAATAGCGATGCGCGATCACTCTCGCCGCCGATAACTGATTACTGACGCATGTTATGTGTGCACGAGGCTGCACGTGTCGCTCGCACAGATAAACAGCCCCGGCTCTAGGCCATGCGGTGGACTCCCAGCTGCAAGTTTCTTATCCCAAGCAAAGCAGCACCGACCGAATAGTTCATCTGTTCTCTTCGCGACCACCGAATTGCGATTGAATTTCCTATAATCATAGCTCGTCGTTATAACCAACTAACTAAGTTAGCGCTCAGTAGCCTCATCCATTTTTGCACGCTTATGCAATTCGTCACAACGGGCTCTACATTTCGGCGTCTGCTACGCGCGTTGAATTCTTCTGTATGAAATCCTTCCTGCGGCGTATTTACATTCCGCTGTTAAAGCCGCCCTGAAAATTTCCCCCAACAGGAGTTTGGAAAAGCCGTAACAGCGGCAGCCGTCAACAATCACGAACCCACGCCTGGGACAAGCAACGTTTCCAGCAGGTGTTACGGTTGGGCGTTGCGCGATAGCTCAAACAATGATGTTTTCCTTTTCGCCAGATGTGCTAGCGCCCTGACTCATTCCACACCCGCCGTATAAGAATTTAAACAAGCCGGAGCCGTGTGCGCGGCTCTATTTTCCTTTTTTTCCTAAGACTTGAACAATGTTGAGCGTTAAAAAGTGCCTAACAAAGAGCTTGTTTACAAACATCAACTATGTGCACTGCTTAGAGATAAGGATTTTACCCCTGTAACCTGTTCACTTTGCACGAGTTTAAGTTCACGACAAGCCTCAAAATACAATAATTTTTAATCGAATATAAATTTGATATTGTTATACATATGTACATGTATTTATATAAACCTATTTTCATATGTCGTAAATCCATCTATCTTTTTATCTGTCGGATGGAAATATGAAAAGTTTTTGTTGTTTTCAGTAACTCTCCAAACGTACCCTTAATGGCGTAATTTATCGAATCAACAAATAAACGATTGTAGAACACACCTGTTAAGCTTTATTCAACAAACTAATTCAACTCCATTCAACTAAAACTAAAAAAAACGTAAGCACGTTTTTTTTTAGTTTTAGTTGTTATATAACAAGTTATTGTATATATGACAAGGAGCCGTGATAGCTCAGTGTCCGGGCGTCCGCCTTTAATTTAATATACTCGAGCAACTTGAGTTCGATCCCCGGTGCCCGCATCAATGAAATTGTCAATTTTAAGTGCTGAGTTATCACGTGCTCAGCGGTGAAGGAAAACATCGTGAGGAACCTGCATTTTTTCGAAATAATAACAAAAAAAATATTTCGAAGATATGTGAAGCCCGCCAAGTCCGCCAGTGGGGCCGTGTGGCGGACTATGCCCTGATACCCTCTGTACAGAGGAGGCCTTTGCCCAGCAGTGGAACATGTATAGGCTGATACTTTATTTTTACTTTACTATATGACAATTTTTCTATTTTTTGTGAGTGAAAAAATGAAAAGGAGATTTCATACCGAAAAATTAATCATTCAGATAACACCGAAAGTATGGGGGTTTCTCCGTTATGTGAAAAATATTGAAGCTCACTGTCACAAAGTGAGCCGCGCTTGTTTACCTTGGCACCGGCTATTGAACGCACATATCAATGTAACAAGGGTCTCCTTATATACTGTACTGCATTAGCAGAAACCAAAGACCTGTTTAATATGCAAAAACCTATTAAATCAAACCCAATGTACTCCAGACGGACATAATTTTGTGGAGTGGTGATAACCCGCGCGATAAAGTGCCCCGAACTTTAACTCTCAGCGGAACAGTTGCAACTTAGGCCCGTTACCCGACCACTGGTTAAATTCCACCGTTACATGAAAAATTAACTGCGATAGGGTCACGCGGCTGATTCTGATTTTAATCGAGCCGCTTGATAAGGAAATTTTTCCAGGATAGTTCAATGATCGCGTGTCGAGTCCTGCGCCGCTTTGGCAGTAGAAGCCCTAGTGTGTGGAGATTTTTTTTAATATGCGGACGCAGCATCTGTAATCACACAGTAACTACTTAACAACAAACGAACGGACTGCATGCAGTCCAATTCCACAAAAGGCCGGCCAAGTGCGAGTCGGACTCATGCACTAAGGGTTCCGTACTGTAAAAAAATCATGGGATTCAATCTTTTATATATATTCACTTAAATATTTTTTCATTCCGTTTTGTTATGAATGTGTTTATTTGTTGCTATATCGGCAACAAAAATACACCATATAAATTACATTCAACTGTCTACCTATCACGATTCATGAGATACAGCCTGGTGGCAGACGGTCAGACAGGCATACAGACAGCGGAGTCTTAGTAATAGGGTCCCGTTTTACCCTTTGGGTACGGAACCCTAAAAAAATCTCAACAGCGTTCTTTCTCTCTTAAACAGTCCAAACGCTAATTGTGAATGGTCGAGGAACGCGCGGAATCCAAAAGAAATTACCTCGACGTATGCTATGAATGATTTTCAACCTTATGTATACAGACAGAGAAGCCGGCTAAATGTTAATCGTTTAGTTTTTGACGCGCCTTTGATATACATAATTCGAATTCTCTCTACGTTTATCTGGGATCGCTCTACATGTAAATACGCCCAATTTAAGTAGGTAATATGTATGTGTAAATAAGTGTGTGATTAATTGTTAGGCGTAATTAATTGTTCGTCTTATCAAAGTGTTGCGTCGTTTCGTGTTCAAGCCCGTGAAAAGCCGTATATGTCTTAACATTTTTAAACGTCGTATGGGCACATATACATATATAGAACGCATTTATATAAACTGTACCCTTTCAATAATACATTATTGATTTGGTCGATATGAGTGAGACACAATTTTGACTCCGTTTTATGAGACCTAAAAAGGAGTGAAACCACAGAGAGGTTTGTATCCGTTACTAAAGATAAAAGTCAAAATTTATTTGTTGCCTTTCTTATACATATATATTTATAGATATAGAATCCGCAGCCGGATTGAATATTGATATGAACCTGTGCTATTTACATTATGTTTAGATATAATTATTTATACTTGAGTAAACTATGAAAGAAAACAGACCCCCAAAGGCCACCGTCATCGCCATCACAGTGCGCTTTTCTAGAAATTTCGTACTGTTTCTACGCACGTTTGCGTTAATAGTTCCCGTCAGCGGTTTATTCAGCCCGAATTAGGGAACTTCCAAAAGGGAGCCTGCTCCTAACTTAATAGCCGACGCCACCACCACCCTTGAAACTCATCGGCTACGATGATCAGTTGCTATCCAATCATAGCTGACTTGCCTCGCCATCATAGAAACTTTACTGTGCAGTATTAGGAATATTTTTATAGTTGATACATTGTTATATATTTTATATAATTACCAAAATTCATTTTACATTTGAATTGTATTATTTTTCGCGTATTAAAATATGTTATGTTATAACCGTAGAGCCGATTACAGACGTCATTGTCATATTAGAAAATAATTTCTATATCGCGAGACGTTTTACAAACATGAAAAACGCGCGAGCGACGGATACCAATTGTCATTGCATTAAGGTATGAAAGTGGGTATTGAAGCAGCAGAACGGCGTCCAACCCAACCACTGACGTGGGTGCACAGTCATTTATTCGTTTCAATCGGATGAAACTTTCGCGTTTTTTATTATGTTTGTTACGTCAGAGCCACGTCATTTATGAACCAATTTTAAAATTTCTTTTTGTGTTTACAGGCTGAAGTCAGTTATGTTTTTCGTTGCACGCGCACGAATTTACACAAAGCTTGCATTTCGGAGGTGGGGCGCGCGCGTAAAGAGACAAGAGTGGCGCCACCGTCGCCGTTTGGGAGTAAACAGCGATAAGAACGGCCCATGAACGCTGGACACCAGAAAGGTGTCCGAACTGCGGGTTTCACTTTCGTAGCGGCGATGATGGAAACGGGGGGGGGGGGGGGGGGGGAGAGACGGTACCGAGGTCCGTGCGCCCGCGCACAGCGTCTTGCCGCAAAAAATAAACTACTTTTCCTTTCTCAAAAACCCGAACACTTTCACCTAAGCCGAAACCGACGAGAAAACACGCTGGCGGCGAACGCGCCGACGCGGAATGCCCGTACCAGGCACCAGTGGTTCCCCTGGCAACAATGAATGTTTGCCATCAACCAGAGCTGAAGTCGAAGTGGACGTGTCATACCTCTGCGTTCCGTCTGGTGATCGAGGTAGCCGGGGCAGACTTCATTAAAAGGTGGCAACGCATCTGCGACCCTATGGATGTTGCAGATGTCCATGGGCGGCGGTTATCACTTAACATTAGGTAATTGTGTAAAATTGGCGTTTTAGAAATTTTTTTTTTCTAAAACGCCAATTTGAAGCCGTTAGAAACATTTTCGGTTCGGTCGTTATAACTTTTTCACAATATGGAGTCTTGCCGTAATGAATTTCAATTACTGTCATGTCTTTGGTTTACTCGTAAGGTTACGCGTTAGGTATCTAAAGCACCACATAGGAACAATCACATAGACGAACCCTCCTTTCTCTCATGAAGTCGGGTAAAATTTAATACTATACGAAACTATATTTGCCTTCAAAAAGTAAGGACTCATTCGTGTTCCGTCACTTAGTCTTAACAATTTCTTTTAGTTACACAATTTCTTATTATTTAGAAATCCAATTAAACATATGCAGTTAAATATATATTCACCCTTGACTCTAACAGAATGTTAGGCCAGCGAAGCGCAACAAATGCTTATCCGACGTTAAAGAAATTATACCGAGGTTCACCTATCCCTTTTTTTTAGTATGAAAACTAATTTTTAATTTTACAATCTGTAATCTAGAGTAGGACTGAAATGAAAACCCCGTGGCTAAGTAGCAATACATTAATATGGCTAGTAATTCAACTCAGATATAAATCCGTATGATTTAAATGCAAGATTTTGTGAAATGAATACATTTGCTGCTGATTGTTAGTTGATCTGGCGGCTAGATGCAATGAATGCAACGAGTAATGAGCA